TATATATATATGTATGTATGTATATGTACTGGGTACTCCGTGTAGCAGTATTGTGTGTAGGTCCATGTGGAATCTCCTTTGCTCACACAGTGGTCGGTGCAGATGAGATCCAGGTCTCAAGTGGGAAGCGTGGCGCCCTGTCAGACCAGCACCACAGCCGCTGAACCCCAGCAGGAACTTAGGAAGCAGATCAGGGCTTTTTGTGATAATGACCTTATCTGAATTACAGGAAACTTTATTCTGTAAAATGGTGGACTGTCATTTGCAGCTGACTAAGCCAAATGCCCCAGTGGTGTTGCCTAGATTTCTCTGGAGAGCTCCATCTCCCATACTTGTGTCAAGGGTAGCAGGATGGGGAGAGATAATGACAGAGGTCCTGCAGAAAGGCTGCTGTAAATTTGGGAACAGTCTGAAAGAACCAAAATGGAATATGGAAAAAAGCTTGGAGGGACTGCTAGTTACATCATCTATAACTAAGCAAAAGAATTTGTTGTTGCCGATTCAGAAATGGAAGGCAATACTGGTTTTGTACTTGAAATTATTTGAGTTCCATAGTTTTACACAACTGTGACTTCTCCAAAATTCTGATAACTCATTGCTGTCTTGGCTCCGCTTCTTCTCTGTGGTTCGTTTGCATTTGGCCACAGGTAGGGTATGGGGAAATGCAGAAATGATAGGAAAATAGTATCACAGAGAGAGGATGGTGATTTGTTGCCCTCCTCTTGCACCCACAACTGTTTTTCAGTGGTTCTTATTTGAAGTATTCCAGAGTAAGGGCAGTTGGAAGGGATCTTGGGAAGTGGCCTTGTGCAGCTGCCTGCTCACAGCACAGCCAGCTGTGAAGTTTGACCCAGCTGTTCAGGGCATTGCCCTAGTGAATTTTCAATATATTCAGGGATGGGGATTCTGCAGCCTCTGCGTGAGCTGCTCGGCCCCCCTCAGACCTTCTGTTTTTGTGTCAGGTTGGGGTTTTCCCTGCTGCACCTTGTGACCACTGCCTTCCTGCTGCTGTGCACCAAGAAGTGTCTGGCTGTCTTCTCTGTAACCCCATGAGATAGCTCTTGTTTCAGGTCCGGTCTTATTTCCACTTAGAAAATGTTCAGTGGTTCCTGTGACTTTCCTTTGCCCTTTATATTTTTCCCCCAGTCCGAGGTGAGACCAGGCAACAGTTATTCAGAGGCAAGGTGAGGCTTTAGTGAGCTTACTGCCCCTCACCTCTGCCTTGCTCTTGGGTGCCTCTAGCTGTCTGTGTAGGCAGCATGGAGGATGGGGAAGAAGCCACCACTCAGTGAGTAATATTCTGCTGAAACTAGTAAATTCAGTTTCCAAGTATGAGGATATAGGTGAAAGGCTCAGTGATTGCTTATGAAAGGAAGATGAACTGCCTGGAGATGCTGAACCCTCAGAGGGAGATGGAAGTAGTGGAACTGGTTGTGGAGAGTGAGGCATTGGCTGCCTTCATGGTGCCCTCTCCTAGCTTCAGGGTGTTGTGTGTATTCTTGTCATGATCGTGGCTATTTGCCTGTTGCCACCCACTCTGGAACATGCTGTCAGGGAGGAGATGCTCTTGTCAAGTCTAGGTGAGCAACGAAGGCAGTGTGAAAGCCCCAAAGCGTAGCCTGAAGGGATGCTTTATGCTCTCCTCTCCATGAAGGTATTGCTCAAAAGGCAAGCTGTTCTGGGACATTGAGGCCCTGAGGCTGAATCCCAACACAACAAATAGTTGCAGAGAGCACTGTGTGTAGGGCACAAAGCCATCTGTGCCATGCAGACCAATGTCTTCTTCCTCAGGTTCCCACTGAGATGAGTTGCCCTTCCCTGCTCTTCATGTCACTCTCTCTACCAGCTGGTCATCCCTGGGGGAGATTTTATCTGAGATGAGTTTTAACAGCAAATTTTCCCTTCTGTTAATAATGTGAAAAAAAACCACTGCCACTTTCTGTTCTGAGGAGCAGTGGCCAAAACGTCATTGCTGGCAATGATGATGCACGTAGTTCTTGAGCGGGCTCATGAGCTCAGCCTGCTCGGTGCAGGTGCAAGCTTGGCCCATGTGGGCTCCGGGTGTGAGCTGGGCCTGGCATACCAGCCCACAGCTTGAGTACTGGGGTCAGTTTTGGGTGCCACAGGATAAGAAGGACCTTGAGGGGCTGGAGAGGGTCCAGAGAAGAGCAACAATGCTGGTGAGAGGTCTGAGGAACATGTCTTACCAGGAGTGGCTGAGGGACCTGGGATTGTTGAGCCTGGAGAAGGTCCTGGCTGAGGGGAGACCTTATTGCTCTCAACAACACCCTGAAAGGAGGCTGGAATGAGGTGGGGGTTGGTCTCTTCTCCCAAGTAACCAGTGATTGGACAAGAGGAAATGGGCTTAAGTTGTGCCAGGGGAGGTTCCAACTGGATACTAGGAAGAATTTTTTTCCTGACAGAGTGGTGAGACATTGGCCCAGGGTGCCCAGAGAGGTGCTGGAGTCCCCATGCCTGGAGGGATTCATAAAACGTGTAGACTTGGCACCTCAGAACATGGTTTAGTGGTCACAGTAGTGTTGTGTTGGCAGTTGGACTTGCTGATCTTGGAGGTCTTTTCCAACCTTAATAATTCTATGATTCTACCTTGAGCGGGTCCTCCACAGCCCAGCCGCGTGGCTCATTCCAGTGGCCCCATGCTGCTTTGGCCATGCCTTTTTGGCCACCTGAGTGGTTCTTTTGCCTATGGGCCATGTGGTGGCTGCAACTGAATTTTACCATGTGGTGCTGGGTGTTGCAGGGGCAGCTGGCAGTTTCCAGCATGGACCTCTTTCAGTTCCTGCACAACACGCAGCTGCAAATCACCAGATACTTGCTAGGCAGCAAATGGTTATCACAGTAAAAATTCTTCTTGAATTATTTTTGGCTTAGAAAGCTGAAATACTTCTAATGGAAGCACATGCAAGCACATGCCCTGATGAGAAACACTTTGCCCTGTGTGCATCTCTGTCTCGCCTCAGGTTTGTACATTTCACCTACGCATTCAGGTTGTGCTTTGACTCTCAGAACCACTGGTTTTGGTCAAATTCCATAATTTTTTTTTGTTGAAGCTTGTGTTGCTTAAGGCAGTTCCTCTCTGATTTGCCTATTTAGTGGTCAGTGTTTGATGGTCTGTTTGCAGTGTTTTAGAATCCGGCATTTGCAAATACAGTTAAGGGGAAAAAATTGAAAGAAAATATGTTAATTTTCTGTAGGTGGTGCAAAATACGCCCTTAACAGGGAGAAGGCTGAGGCATCTGGCACGACAGTGAAGGGATTGAAATGTCCCTTTGCTAAATCAGTTTTTCAATGTTCTTCTATTTGTTGAGTTGCTAGGTGGTAACACCGGTTTTAACTTGTTTTCAGGATTATTTATAAGTGCAATTAGTGCTCAGAAACCCCCATTATGTCTTGCACATAACTCTATCCAGGGTCCTGTAATGGTTCAAAGTGGATTAAACAAAGATCAAATAAGAGAAAGTGAGGGGGTGCTGCTAATTTACTTGGGAGATGCTGTATGTCAGTGGCTTTTATTGCATAACTGTAAAAAATACTATCACCACAGCAAGTTTTTTCTTTGCATTTCACTCTGTGCCCAAACTCCAAAGTTCTGGAAATGTTTGATGCTGTGTTCTGCCTATCACAGAATTAATGTCTGGTGTTCTCCGATGAGATGATCATTTTTGTGTGTTCTTCTGTATTCTGGGGTGCATGCTTTCCCACCTCACTAAGCACACAAGACACTCGGGATTTACACATCCTTTGACCTCAGCCTACTCTGTAGGAGTGTATTACTTTCTGTAATTGTTTTGCCAGTGACCAGGCCCAACAAAAATGATAGCACCAGCAGGAAGATGAACCAATACACAGACTGTATTGTAGACAAGGACATTCCATGAATGATCACTGGGGGTACAAACAGATCAGTCAGCTGGTACATAATTGACGACACCCCCAATGATCTCACAAAGGACGTAACTCGTCCCACAATAGGTGGTACAGACAGAGACCTGAGGTTACCCACAGTTGGCATGGGAAACAGCCAGACCAGCAAGCTAATTTGGGGCTCAGGGTTCAAACCCCAGCATTTCAGTAATACCGTGTTGCTTTTCCAGCAGATCCTGGTGTGGTGACAGCTCTCAGTGTGAACCATGGTCCGTGATCATGAGCTACCTTCCAATTGTTCAGATTCTTCCTCTATTTGCTTGGCAGTATGGAGCAGAATCCAGCCGTGACATCCCCTCCTGCGCTGACCCTTGAGCCCTCAGAGTTGGTTGTGGAGATGCTGCGTTGTTGGGAATATCGTTACAGGCTTTGGAAACTTCCCTGACCCTTGTCCTCACCCACCAGCAGCAGCAGCTCCCAGGGAGCTGCCCAGTGTATGCTTCCTGGCTTCTGGTGCAGTAACCCCAAACCTAATGTACGACAGTGTGAGATTGCTGTTAGCACAGAAGTAGCTGGGGCCACTTGTGGCATGTCTAGCTGTTCAAAGGGCAGTAACCAGGAAAACTTTTCCAGCAGCGTTGCAGGGTGAAAGCGAGTCGACTGTTTGTGAGGGGTTTGTGTTTTTCGGGAATCATTAACAGTTCTTGTGCTTCTCAATGTTTCCCCGCAGTCAGCCACCGGCCTCACCCAGCACGCAAGAAGCCATCCAGGGCATGCTATCCATGGCAAACCTCCAGTCATCAGAGTCCTGCCTCCAGACATCGTGGGGTACCAATCAGGCGAAGAATAACTCCATCTCCACACAAAACTCTAAAAAAACGGGCGGTGGCAGCAACAAAGGTGCTGGCAAGCGGCTACTAAAGAAAAGCAAAAAGAACAGTATTGACATTGAAGATTACGATGAAGATCAGGACCACTTAGATGCCTGTTTTAAAGATTCAGATTACGGTGAGCACAAACGAAGAGGCCTGTGTGAGTGTGTGCTGGGTGTGCACGCACGTCTTGGTGCATGTTTGCAAATACCACCCACGTTTCTCATGACATGCTTGCTCACTTTCTGTCACATTGAAATCGCTTGGGGCTTTTGGTAAGGAGGAGTACAAATCAGTCTGGTAGTGGTAGGACATGGGGTAATGGCTTCATACTGGAAGAGGGGAGATTTAGATTAGATGGAAGGAAGAAGTTCTTCACTCTGAGGGTGGTGAGACAGTGGAACAGGTTGCCCAGGGAAACTGGGAATGCTCCATCACTGGAGGTGTTCAAGACCAGGTTGGATTGGGCTTTGAGCAACATGCTTTAGTGGGAGGTGTCCCTGCCCATGGCAGGGAGGTTAGAACTAAGTGACTTTAAGATCCCTTCCAACCCAAACCATTCTATGATTCCATGAAATAACAAGAGGTCTGCACAACAAAATGAAGCACTCCATGATAGGTAGACTGACTACAGAGCCAATGGTGATATGGCCATCCAGGTAGACTGTATTTGAGGCATGTTACAATCAGAAGACCTTCAGAAGCATGGAAGCCCACTGAAACCACAGCAGTCAGCTCAGAAACAAGAGGTTGTCCCAGAAATGTGTGTCAGGTATGGGTGCTTACAACGAAATGTCCTTGTGTGCACAATAGCAATAAAATACCAGCTAGGGTGAATGAGAAGCTGAATGTGTGCTCAAATGATCCAGTGGTATTTTGGGTGTTGGCAGAGCACGCAAGCATCTCAGGCAGAAATAGGCACAAAGCCAGTTTGCACCAGTTCTGCCAGTTCTGCCATAATAATCTGCAGGAGCATTTTTGATTATAGGAAGTGAGGAAATGAAGAAAAGTAATGATGTGAAGACTGACAGGGACTGGAAAGCCTGAAGTCCCTAAGAGGGCAAGAAGTTGGTAGAGGTGCTGCATCACAGGAGAGTCCGTGTGTGTATAAGTCTCCCTGGCAAGCATGGCCATCAGAAGTCATTAGTTACTACTGGAAAAGTGGAGGATGCCTTTCCACATGATCAGCAGTGATGCCAAAGCAAAGTGGAGATGCTGTGACATGTTGCAGAAGGCTGTCCAGCCATTTAGAGTGCACTGCATGTGCTGGGATGGGATGTAGTGGTAGTGCTGTGGGAAAGGGCAGCTCCATGAAGCTGTTGGACAGGGCTGTGGTCAGATGCCATGCACGAATGAGGGTCTGCTCTACCGAGGGGTGGGTTTGCTCATGATGAGTCCATGCTGCCAGTGAACGGACAGTCTCCGTTGTGAGCAGTCGTGTTTTCCAGAGGCTCTGTTTGTGCCACGTCTGATCAGCAGAATTCTAGTGTCACTGGCCAAATGCCACAGCAATGCCAAAATCACCAGTGATGTAACAAATGGCAGCTTGCAAGAAAATCAAACACATGAGAAAAAAGTCCAGAAACTTTGTAGTACAGGCTGGGACAAAGTTTAGACGGATAAGCTGGTGTTTATCCCAGAGGCCTGTGAAGGGTTCTTTGACAGAAAGGTATAAGGGAGTCCTACAGGCCAGGAAGGATGTCAACTCAATGAAGTGGTTGACTGACTTTGTCTTCAGGACCAGTCTAGCCTGTGATAAGGAAACTTGTCTCTTCTAGCTGTGCTGCTGCTCCACAGACAAGAGGAAGACTGATCTTTCCTGTCTGAGAAGTATTACTGTGTATCCTAAAATTACCTGGCCACAGTTTGATGACAGCAGCTCCCAAGTGTAGTGTGTGGATGAGAGGAGGAGAAGGTCCCTGTAGCATTGCAGCTGTCACCACGCAGTGGTGCTTCTGGAGGATCTTGCTGTTGTAGCTGTGATGCCTGTGGTCACAACACCTGTACAGAGAGAGTGGGCCTCTCTGCAGGGTGGAGCTGTTTCTGCACTGAAACTATTGCCTTTGTTTCCTACTGTAGTTTACCCTTCTCTCGAATCAGATGAAGATAATCCAGTATTCAAATCCCGATCAAAGAAAAGGAAAAGCTCAGATGATGCCCCTTACAGTCCAACGGGTAAGTCCATGTGGTCTGTGGTGCCCAGACGCAGGCTGAGTGATGCAGGTCCCTAGAGAAAAAACAGCCATTTTTCGAGGAGTGTGGAAACTGTAAGACCACAGCTAGAAATTTCTTTATCACCTGGAGGATTAATCCTTTCCAGTGCAGTGGGAGGTGATATCATGTACTGGGACTCATGCCGAGCAGTGTTAGCTTTCCATCAATCAGTGGGCCAGAAAATGCCATTCCTTGGTGGGTTGTTGGTTTATTTTTCTTCACACTCTTGGTAGTGAAACAATTGGTGGCCACTTTAGCAGTGGTGTAACAGTGAAACCCCAGACAGCTAAGTAGCCATGGCTTTTAGGTGTTGACTGTGTAAAGAGAAAGCGTGTGGGAATAGTATCCTCCAGGTTCAGACAAAGCTGGTCATCTGGAAGAGTTTTTGTTGCAACTCACCAGAGGCAGTGACAGGCCATGGGCACCTTATACCCCTTTGATGTGACCAACTGACAGGGGAGTCTCCATGGCTTGCTGTGTGCGTGAGAAGTAGCCATGTCTCATCAGCTTGTGGCACTGCATGTCCACCCCCAGCTGATGGGGTGGTGAACACTGTCCGTTTGGAAACGATGCTGGAGTGGCTCATGTCTGTAGCATAGGCAGAAACCTCCTGTGGCTTTGGCTTCAGGTATTTGCAGCTGCCGGTGAAGTCGCTCGGCTCCGTTACATCTTTACAGGCAGCTTCTCCTTGGGCCTCTCTGACTGAAGGCTGTTGGTACCTCCTGCCTTCGCACGTGTCCTGGGGAAGGGTGGGCAGAGGCTGTGGCATCCCTCGCCCTCCCGGCATGGGAGGGCAGAGCCTCATCCCCCAGCATGTGCTTGTGCTGCTCACAGGGTCACATTCCACACGCCTCACCTGTGTCTGCTTTCCTTGCAGCACGAGTTGGCCCCTCGGTGCCTCGGCAAGACAGACCGGTGCGGGAGGGCACCAGAGTTGCCTCCATTGAAACTGGACTTGCTGCCGCTGCCGCCAAGTTGTCACAGCAGGTGAGGTTGCTTGAGAAGTAGTAGCTGTCAGGAGATGAAAGCCCTCTCCCCCAGCAGCAGAGTCCTGCCCCCATAGCAGTGGAGTGCCCGTCCTCCTCAGTGTTTACTCCCACCAGCGACACAACGCTCCGCAGTCTCGGGGAAAATCAAGGGGCTGAGAGTCCAATAGTAGCCCACTAGACCTGACGCCGCCGCAGCACAAGGGCCGGCGATGTTTCAGAGGTCCAGAGAGTCAGGACCAAGCAAGCGTACCTCCGGGCTAAGGCAGAAGGAGGCTGCCTGAGGGAGCGTGTATGGACCACATACTGGTGTGTATGTGAGAGTCTGACTGGTGTGACTGCCTCATCTGTGGAAATCAGCTGCTGGGAAGTGTAAGGATTTACTTCCCCAGATGTGGTGCAGGGTAGGTGACTGTGGGTCAGTTTAGTAAAAGTATTGAGGCACTTTGGGGGTTGATAAGTGGCTGGCCTCTGAAGAGGTCAGGTAGATGCTAACAGCTTAATGCACCTAGACCCCACAAAGGTGACACCGTGAGGCGTGAAGGTGACAACGTCTGCTGGAGCAAGGTTGGTGAGGCACCTTGGCAGGTTGCTGGAGACGCAGGTTTTGGTGGCATTCAGCCTCTGTGATGTGTCCTGTTGAGTAGAAGAGCTCCAAGAGTGGTAGCAGGGTTTCATCAAGAATCAGCCTGAAGGCAGGGAAGGGGAACAGGATGGTGACAGGCCACTGTTCTCATGGTTTGTATGTAGAAGCACAGTTACAAGTGGAGAGGTAATGTGTGTGTCCTAGCAGGAAGCCAAGTCTGTGCATCAGTGGGATGCTTAATATCCTCCATGCTGTTGTGAAAGTGTATGAAGATACCTGAAGATAGGAGGTGCCAGTTTTTGTGGAACATCGAAAGATTTGTTCGCTCAGAACCACGCTGGTCTCCCCGGGCAGGGTCATTCTGGCCCTGGCTGGCTCCTGTTCGCAGCGGTGTTGGCAGAGTTGACAGAGGAGGCGGCTCGGCACAGAGCGCACATGTAGATGCGAGGAAGGCGAACGTGTGCGTGCGGCAGAGCGAGCTGTGGGCGAGATGGTGGCGGAACAGACCCTGAGCAGTGTGTACTTGGCAAGCTTCGTGGGTTTTCGTTGTATCAGGACCCTAAGCAACTCCGCTGGCCCTTGCCATAGCTAAAGGTCTTCTGGAGATTAATCTGAGCTTCATGTTTGTCATTTTAAAGGAGGAACAAAAAGGCAAGAAGAAAAAAAATACCAAAAAGAAGCTGTCAACCAACAACGTGAACAAACCAGCTCAGGAAGGCAGCTCGCCAGAGCCGAAGCTGGAGTCACATGCCAGCAGCCTCACAGATCATGAGTACACCGCAGGGGCCAGCACCTTTGGGGTCGCCCAGCCTAACAGGGGATCGCAGCCGATGGCACCCGGTGTTTTCCTCACACAGAGGAGACCCTCATCATCCTCGCAGAACAATGCCTCTGCCAAAGGTACCAGGAAACGCCTGGGGTTATGGTGCAGGAATGGGGAAGGGTGAATTGGTCATGCATTCGGTGCCTTTTGCAGGGCCCTCACGTGCTGTGTCTGCCAGGGGTATGTAGAAGTGCTTTGGCAGGTCAGATCTGGTCAGAGATACTGCCCATGGCCTTGGCTGTCCTAGCACTGTGTTCCCAAACATGCCTTTTGCTGCTGGGCTGTTTGTTACAGGGTGTGAGGCACCCATGCTAGGAAGTACTCCTGAGCATGCCCCGAGGCTCCTGAGGAACACCTGCAGTGGTCACATCACAGTCCAGCATGTCTGGTGAAGCCTTGTCCAGGGGAAGATGCATCTGTGAAGGCTGTTCTGCCCAGGGCAGGCACTGCTGTGGTTGGATGATACTTGTGCACTAAGACCTGTGCTGACGTGTACATGAGGACATCCTACCCAGCAGGTGTAGAGCAGTGCAGGTCTGCAAACCTACCATGAGAGCTGCCACATGGGAGCAGAGGAATATCAAACCTTGAGAGTAGCCCAGGTACACGGCCAAAGCCAAGAGAGAGGAAGAGGTGGCTTGTTGTCTGCTTTAGGGCAACTGTTCGAAAGCTGAGGCTGTCCTGGAGTCTGGGCTAGGACCTCCTGTTCTCTGCTTGAACTTTGTTCAGAAAGCGTGACAGAGGCAGGCATGTGGGACAGGTACCATGTAGTGTGAAGCCGAAGTGTGCAATTGAACCGGGAGAGACCCTGATGTAGAAAGTAAGACAACATGGCAGATGTTTCCTACATTCCCCTGTATTTGAGTGGAGGAGGTGAGAGGTAGTGTAGTGTCCTAGCAAACAGTAGAACATCTGAGCAGCTTGAATGGGCCATACAGGAGGACATGCATAGCCCATGGTAGGTGTTGGGGTCATTCCAGGAGGTGGTAATACCTGTGGCTGTCTGCAGAACCAGAGTGGAATGAACGTGTTTGCCTGGAACTGTCTTTGTGGTGAAATGGTGGCATTAGTGAAACAGGTCCAAGCCAGTGGAAGACGTGGTGGGAAGAGGAGTGCTGAATGGAGCCAAACTTCAGTCTGGTCGATGAGCTGGGTGGCCCAATCAGGGCATCATGAAGGGAGCCTGACTAGGCACGTGGATCACACCTTGCCTGTGGTGTAGCTCAGTCCAGAAGGGAGGGAAGGAGCCAGGAAAGTGAGTGGCTGACCTTGCAAGGAGCAGAGAACTTTCAGGGCCTCTTGTGCAGGGTCTTGGAACAGCTGGGAGCACCAAGGGAACTTCAGGGCATCTCTCTGCGTGGAGAACAGGAGAGTCCTGAACCTGATTGGGCATCACTGGGAATGAGGAACTGTGGAAGGAGATGGTAGGATGAAGCAGAATTAGGAAGCTGTAGGATGACCTCAGAGAAGGTCTCTGAGTCTTAAAGACTGATGAGAAATGAGGAAACTTCCTACAGAAAGTGTCATCCACACTGTCATGACCTTTAAGGCCGGAGCAGTTAATGTGGGGAGGAAGGGTGTGTGTGGGGGGGAGTGTGGGTGTCTCTGTGTGTGTGTGTCTTTTCAGTGTCCTGGCAAGGCTGCATGCAGGTGGTCTCTCTAGTGCCAGGGAAAGAGAGAGCAAGAAGAAACGTGGAGCTGTGATGGCACATGGGTTGGTCTCAGTGTGGTGGGCAAGGGACCAGGTGTCCTCAGGGCAGTGCTTGACCATGGTGAGACCCAGGACTCACGGTGGCATGTGAGCTCAGCATCGCTGTGCTGCAGGTTTCCCTTAGATGATAGCAGAGAGGTGCCCAGAGATCCCTGTGGATCGTGCGGGTGCCCAGTGAAGGGAGGCTCTGTAACAGCCTGATGGGTGCCAGGAGCTGTGGGGTGCCCATGTGCCTGTGCCTCTCCCATGAGGTACTGAGGAACAGGACGCATCTCCTGTGAGGCACTGACAAGTGGGATGGTGTCTCCTGTGAGGCACTGAAGAGAGGGATGGTGCTGGCACGGCTGGGTTCGGGCTCTCCTCCTGTGGGCAAACAGGACACCCTTGAGCAGAAAGACAGGCCGGGTGAGGGCAGAAGGCAGCAGGGCTGGCCCTGTGCAGGCAGGAGGAGCCCCGGCAGAGAAGGCCGAGATGAGATGCGCCTCCACCCCGGGCGGGGAGTTCTCAGAGGGGACCGCTCCTGCGTGCGAGCCGCGGCGGTGCCGGTCCTTCG